TCTCCACACACCACCCAGACACGCACACACCCCAGTGCTGTTGTGTCCCTGCTCACTTCGGTGTCTTCCTGCTCAGGAAACGACTTCTTGGAGGACTCCCCATACGAGCCCATGAACAGCCGTCTCTCTGATATTTTTCGCCTGGCTCCCATCATCTCAGGTAGGGGGGGTTGGGGGGCGCTTGGGGGGAGCTTGTAGTGCCATGTCACAGGGACACTCGGGCACTGAGGGGCAAAGTGTACGTTGACTCTGCTTAACACAGTTAGTTGACAAATGGGGGTTAAACCCGAGGTGACCCCAGAAGTGGGCACGTTGTGTCTGAACTCTACGGTTTCTTTACAAAGTCACAGTAAATAGAGTGTCCCAGTAGGTGGCACTGTCATTTCCATTAAAACAGCACTGGTCTCTGCTCATCACTGTTTGGTGGGGTGTTTTACATGGCTTGATGTAGGGATTGGAAAGCCCTAAAGGTGTGGTGCCCTGTGCCAAGATTTGGGTCTATCTGGAACCATCAGCATCACCTGTCAGGCTGAAATGTATGACCGTGTTTCAACACACTATGTAAAAAGGAATCACCATCAAAGGGCAATAAAGTAACATAAAGATGATGTGAGGAAATAACAGGGGCAGAATGTTGTATAGGAAAATGAGACCGTAATAATGGAGTCTCGTAGCTTAGCATAGCTCAGGTCTGTTTGTATAATGGAGTCTCGTAGCTTAGNATAGCTCAGGTCTGTTTGTATAATGGAGTCTCGTAGCTTAGCATAGCTTAGGTCTGTTTGTATAAAGGAGTCTCATAGCTTAGCATAATTGTGGTCTCTTTGTATAATGTAATCTTGTAGCTTAGCACAGCTCAGTTTTGTTCATCCAGTCTACTGTGCAGGATGTTGAGAAGTAGTAATGAACACTAAAAAGTGACTGTTTATCTCCGTCAGCATGTTTGTGTTTATTTGCGCCCAGTCATGCCTGCTTGTGCATCAGTACTTCTGTTTGTAGGTCTGTAGACATGTACCTGTGGTTGTGTCTGGATTTTAAGCATGGGGGGCCCACACAGGGCAACGGGGGGCCACACAGGGTCACTCTCTGTCTCAGGCTAGTACCAATATCAGGTTTGTTTCAGATTTTTTTTCAGAGCTGGAAAGATTAAGTACAGCTCAAGAGATCCTAACAAGAGAAAAATATTGCTGTCCTCTCAGATTCCTTTGAAGAATGAGATTAACAATCATCCCAAACTGCTCTGTTGTTCTTTAATAGGCGATTGATATTTCTGTGCTGCAGTGTGCAATTAGAGCGCAGCGCACAGTGGGGAATCAGCCCGGGGGGGGGCGCCAGTGGCAGCGCCAGTCAGGCACGTCGCCGAAGCTTTTCAGCACGAGCAGAGCGGCCCTATTAGCGCAGACATGCCGATCGATGTGGGCCGGGGCTGTGCGGCACTGCCATGCTGGGAGGCAGGACGTGACGGGGCTCACAGCTCATAGCACACAGCGGGGCTCAGCTTCACACCAGCCCACCACCGCTACTGCCACTCAGCAGGATTGGGGGGGGGGCATCCACACCGAGGGACAGCTCACTGGGACAGGGGATCCAGTGAGGAGAGCGGGCACCGGGAGGGACAGCCGTGTGGGGGGGTCCGGTGAGGAGAGCGGGCACCTGGAGGGACAGCCATGTGGGGGGGTCCGGTGAGGAGAGCGGGCACCTGGAGGGACAGCCGTGTGGGGGGGTCCGGTGAGGAGAGCGGGCACATGGAGGGAGAGCCGTGTGGGGGGGATCCGGTGAGGAGAGCGGGCACCGGGAGGGACAGCCGTGTGGGGGGGTCCGGTGAGGAGAGCGGGCACCTGGAGGGACAGCCGTGTGGGGGGGTCCAATGAGGAGAGCGGGCACCGGGAGGGACAGCCGTGTGGGAGGGTCCGGTGAGGAGAGCGGGCACCTGGAGGGACAGCCGTGTGGGGGGGTCCGGTGAGGAGAGCAGGCACCTGGAGGGAGAGTTGTGTGTGTGGGGGTGTGTGGGGGGGGGTCCGGTGAGGAGAGCGGGCACCTGGAGGGGGAACCGTGTGGGTTTCTGCTCAGGGCTTTACGATGTTGCCGTGCTTAAACTTCCATTTATCTTTTGTTTGAGGGCATGATGTCAACATGGGTTTTACCAGCTGATTCCGAGTCATTTTTCATCTGATGACAACGAATCACTCTCTCTTGCACAGTCAGTCACAACAAGAAGCAAAACCAAGATTTAGTCACACAGAAAAGCACAGCCAATCAGAGTCAGTTACCTCAAGAAACACAGCCAAAAATTCTTCTCCCTTACAAATGTATACACAGACATACACACACACACACACACACACATTTGTGGGGACCGTCCATTCATTTCTATGGGCATAACCCTAATCCTAAGAAGGACAACCTTAACCCCTACCCAAACCAGAAGCTGTGTAGCATGTTGGGGATTTTGGCGTTTTCTCTGTTTGTGTTTGTTATGATATACAAGGCCATTCCTCACCACTTCAGAATATCCAGTGACGCACTGATCCGTAAATAACTGGCAACCCCGCTCCTCTGAAATTCAAATGGACTTTTGAATTTCCATCAAATTATTTTCCAGTGTCCCAGATCAGATCTCACTGTGAAAAAAGAATAAAATTTAGGCCACTTAGATGTATTCACATTCTACATCAGCCAATCCGGCGCATTAAGAATGAATTTCCTTGACACTGGTCCTCTGGTTTGGCAAGCAAAGTCAGAGCAGCTGAACCATGAGCGGGGCATGAACACGGCATGAGAGGGGCATGTGAGGGGCATGAGTAGGGTATGAGACGGGCATGTGAGGGGCACATGAATAGGTTATGAATGGGGCATGTGCGACTCATAATCAGGGTACTGTGGTGGGAGCCTAGCATGGACTCTGCAAATCAGCGTCACACTTTAATCTGAGAGGAGAAATGCAACCGGCGGAGGAATCCAGAATTGCGCTTTGTTTTTCTCCTTTGTGTAAACTGTCACGCCCGTGTGATGTTAGGGTGGGGAGGGGCTCCCAATGTGAGCTCCTCTATGATCTTGTGAGAATTGCTTTGCTTGTTTGTGGTGTCACATCAAATGTGCTTGTGGCAGCATCAGCCTTCACAGTGGCTTGTTAGAGAGCCTCCTCAACGCATCACGGAGCTGCCAGTACCCCACATATCTCACAAGTCTCCTGTGCCTCCTTCTGCTCCCCCAGAACCTCATGCCTCCTCCCGCTCCCCCTGAGCCTCTTATGCCTTCTCCCACTCCCTTTGAGCCTCCTGCATCCTCTCACTCCCCTGCACCTCCTGCACTTCTGCCTGCTCCCCCTGAGCCACCTGTGCCTCCTCCCACTCCCCCTGAGCCTTCTGCATCCTCTCCCATTCCCCTTGAGCCTTTCACACCTCCTCCTTCTCCCATAAGCCTCCTGCACATTCTCCTTCTCCCCCAAAGCCTCCTGTGCCTCCTCCCTTGTCTCCTGTGCTTCCTGATCCACCCACTTCTCCTGCCCCTCCTGTCTCCCACATCTGCACCATGACTCCTGTGCCTCCCCTGTCTCCCACGCTCAAGCTGTATCCATCTGCTTGCAAGGAAACACTGGTGACGGAGGTGGATTCTTGGCACTTTTCAGTCTGCAGTTGACCGGGAGCACAGCTACTAGGGATGGGCAGTGCATCTAATTGTTACAGTATATCAATATGTTTTCAAAACGAGATACAGGATGACAGAATACTCTTTATATCGATATACTTTTATTGTGCGTTAAAATTAGGGGTCTATTAAAGATTTTAAATAGAAACTAATAGTATTCCTCCCTGGCTGTAAACAAAGCGAGAGCTTCTGTCATGACGTTACACAGACTCCCAGAATCCACAGCTAAAATCAGACCATTCAGTCAGCGTCTCACAGAGAAGCTGATGGAGGGGAAAAGGGAGGAATTGCTGTGACTTGTTTAATTTAATTTTAAAACCTTGACAGACGGTTCGCAGGTTAAAAATATAATTAGCTATATTTGTTTTATTTTGTTGAAGAGTACTGTAATTCCTTAAAGTGAGGAGCTTTTCAGTTATTAAGTGCACTTTCAATGGTTGACAGCCTCTGCTTTTAGAGCCATTTGCCAAATAGGTTTTAGATTTAGATTTTAGTTTTTTGTTAATAAGCATGCATCCTTCTGGTTTAAGAGTGATGTCATAAACTGATCAAAAAGAACAATGTTGTTGATAGACATCGTGGAGTGAATGGGTTTACCAGGGGCTGCGTTATCGATCTCCAGCAACACAAATATATGCAGAATTTATTTTTGTCTTTATTTTGAGACTTCTGTTTGCAGTGATGGAAATGTCTGAACTGAATGGTTATAGCTGTGTATTTGCAAACAGGGAAGAAAACACTGAATTTGCATTTAGTTTTGACCACACTGTTTTAATAATTTGCTTTCCCCACTTGATAGAAAATACCAATATATACCCCCCCCCCAGGTTGTAGCAAGTGGTTATTTAAGTTACAGTTGCCTTCCTATCAGCTTAAACCAGTCTGGCCAGTCTTCTCTCACCTCCGCCCTCAACAGGGCATTTTCACCCAGAAAACCGCGGCTCATTGGATGATTTTACTTTTTCGGCCATTCTCTGTGAACCCCAGAGACGTCTGTGTGTGAAAATCCCAGCAGATCAGCAGTTTCTGAAATACTCATACCAGCCTTTCTGGCACCAATAACCATGGTCACTTAAATCCCCTTTCTTCCACATTCTGATATTTGATGTGAACATTAACTGAAGCTCCTGACCTGCATCTGCATGAGTTTATACATTGTACTGCTGACATATGATTGGCTGATTAGATATTTACTTCAACGAGTAGTTGAACAGGTGTATCTAATAAAGCTGGGACCGCAGCGTGTCCAACCCAACCGGGACCACAACGTCTCAGAGGCTCAACTGGGACCGCAGCATGTCCACCCCGACCGGGACCACAACGTCTCTGGGGCTCAACTGAGACCGCAGCGTGTCCAACCCGACCGGGACCACAACGTCTCTGGGGCTCAACTGAGACCGCAGCGTGTCCAACCCGACCGGGACCACAACGTCTCTGGGGCTCAACTGGGACCGCAGCGTGTCCAACCCGACCGGGACCACAACGTCTCTGGGGCTCAACTGGGACCGCAGCGTG